TCACTACTGGGCAGGACCAAAGACATAGAGGGAGGGAGAGGAAGTGTAGGGGAGAGAAAGAAGAAAAGAGTAATTTTAAAATGGCTTTAAAGTTAAAGAAGTCGGGAAGAGAAAATTAAGACACACCAAAAACTCATCTAGTAAAAGGTTTCCTTTTAGGTTAGGCTAGGCCAGGCTTAAAAGAAAGAAAACAGGAAGAAGCTTTTAAATTGATTATCCCAATGACAAATCCCAGGAAGCTTCCAAATCAAATCGCCCCATTTTGGGTTTTTAACTCCTTCATCAGGTTTAACCTCTGTGCCTCCTGCCTCCCTCCCTGCCGCCCCCGTTGACTGGTGATTAATCCCAGCCTCCCCAGCCCCCCAGCTGGGTTTTTCAGTTTCATTCCACTTTCCGCCCTTTTCCCTTAATGAACACAGGGCTAATCTTGGGCCTTGTCGAAGGAAGAGGCCGCAGACGCTAATGAGGAAGCTGCTGGGTTCCAATATTCATCTCATAAGGAGCCTTCTTTGTCTGCAAAGGAAAAACACACTGATTATCATAATAAGCTGAACTGGCGTCCGCAGGGCCGGGGCGACTCAGGTTCTTAAGCCACACTTCTAATTTTGGGGCTGCAGCTGAAGGTCCTTTTGGTCCTCATTGAAGCCTTTGCCCCATCCCAGCGCGAAGGCTATTGAATGGGGTTGAAAGTTGAAGGTAGCTTTGGGAGAAGGGCCCCAGAGTCTGCATTGTAGAAGGTTTCTTTGTTCACTCTCTGCATGCACAACTAGCAAGATTCATTCCCACTCTCCAAGTGCCAGGCCAGGGGCTGCACCAGGGATCAGTTTCTGTCCCTAGCTCTCACTTGACTTGTTTCAAGTCCCACTGAGAGCTTCGAATTTATGCCAGGGATTATGGGGTGGCAGCAGAGAGCCAAGTTACAGGCCCAGGGCTAGGCTAGTCATCACAGTGACAACCAAGGGTGCCCCATGCAGGTGAAGAGATGGTGGGATATTGGCACCCTAGGGGTCCCCCATGAAAGGACATAGTTTCAAATTTAGTTCAACTTTGGCACCAGTGTACTGATGAGATGGGGCTCAGGGGGCCAGTGGTTTGTCAGGACCATTAAGGGGAGATATATTTCAGATACGGGGTTGAGGATGTAGCTCTGTGGTAGGACATTTGCCTGGTATGAGCGAGGCCTTGGGTTCTCACCTGGCACCACAGCTCAGTTCTGCCATTAGATCCCTTGTTAAATCTCTTATCCCCTGCTACCCACTCACTCACTCATATACACGGTCCTCTTCCCCCCAGAATTGCTACCCTTCATTAATATCTTTAGAGCAGGTGTGTCCTGAGTATGATACCACTTCTTATTTGTTCCAGGTTCTGGACATTTCTCATCCCAAGGCAGATCAATCAGGATTAGATCACTATTTCCTTCAGTGAAATGGCAAAAACTAGAGAAGGGAGGTGGTTGAAGCAAGACAATGTTATTAATTCAGTGACCTCCCTCCCTTAGTGACTCCATTGGCTAAAGGGTCTGTGGGATTATGGATCAGAATAGAACACTTTCCAAATGAGAAGAACTAACTCTAGCCAGCCCTAATAAATCAGTGTAGAGGGATGTTCACCTGGTCTGCGGAGGTGGAAACCTGCGGTCACCTCCTCTTTGTGGAGTTGAGATTTGCTGAATGACTAGGATAGAGCAGCCCACCTTTTATAGGGAGGAGTATAAATTAGGGACTTGGGATGAGGGCGGGGCTCTCTGAAAGGGGGGACCTCATGCCACCATTGGAGTGTAGAGCCAGCAGTTTGTGATGTTTCCAAGTGAGAAGACTTCTTTTAAATAGTAAAGAATCCCCAGGCCCCTCCTTCCCTCAAATCTGTCATTAAAATATAGCCTCCAAAGCCACTATGAATACTGTAGGAGCCCCTGGGGAGTATTTTAGAGGTTGGGGGTGGGTGGGGGACAATTCAGAACCCTGAAATCCTAACATCCTGAAACATGGAGAGTCTGTGGCTTTTCTGCCCCAGTCATTGGGTCTCTGGAAGCCCACCGGCCGCTTTCCCAAGGTCTTGAGCAGACAGATTGGAGCTGGCTGCTCCTGGGAATGTTGGGGGGCTCTTTAGCCCATCTCCTTGCTTCCTGGGGCCCTCAACAGCATGTCTGCTGCTTTGTATGGACACGACTTTCCCATTTTCCAGCCTGGTGGTCCTGGTTTGTTTCAGAGTTGGCCTGAGGACACCCAGAGACTGATGGTTACTTAACATTTATTGAGGCAAATCCTGGAGGCTCAGGAGAGAATAGAAAACTGAGGCTTCAGTAGGGAAGTGAGGCTAGGAAAAGCCTATCCCCCAATTCTGAGAAGTGCTGTTTTCTGCCTTTATTGCCCTCTCCCTCCACCTCTGTTCTTTCTCAGTCTTTATCTCCCTCCCCTCCCTTACCAATTCGGAATCTGGCCTTCTTGAGGTGTCCTAGGCCAACCCTCCCTTCTCTGGGTGTCCAAGCGCCAGCCTGGTGTATAGTGGGGCTCAGTAAGAGTATGTGGGATGTATGCTTGGACAGGTGAGTGAATGAAAGGACTCGACTGCCACACCTGAGCAGCTAGGTGGGCTACACAAGGAGTCCTAAGTTCAAAGGGTGGATGGCGGGTGTCGTGGTCCTTGGGAATGGACAGTTTCCCACCCCAGCCCTTTTTGAAGGGGGCCTTGCTGGTCGCGCCCCTGCATTCACCCATGTGTCCATCCCGTCATCCAACAGTTGATCCTAACTGAGCATGCCCATGGTCCTGGTCCCCGGACTTGGCACCTGCCACCTAGTGCATCCTTGATGGTCTCTGCTTCGCAGGGAGGGTGGACCGGGGGGGTTGTTCAGGTGCTGGAGCGGTGGTCTCCGCCCTGTAGATGGCAGCAAGGGGTCGGGGTCGGCTTGGTTTGTCTGCCTTGCCTTTCACACAAGCCTACCCAACCCCAGGGCTTTGCCCCCTCTCTGCTTCCCCCACTCCATCCCTGTAGCTGAGTGGACAGCTGTTCTGAACCCCTGGCCCTGAAGCCTGGGACCAAGGTGGGTATGAGAGCAGCTATGGTGGGTATCCCCAGGCCTTGGCCATACAGGTCTCCCTCTTGAGATGGGGTCTGTGGTGTGGACCTCCCCCATCACATGATTCCTTCCTCCCCCTGGGGCTCAGTCCAGTTTCTTGGCCCCCTAGGATGGGGCCTGTGCCCATGGTGAGAGCCTCCAGGAAGCGTCTGCAGGCTGTAGTTGTGCTTGGCTGTCTACCTGCTCTTTTCCTGATGGCTCCTCCCATATTTCTCAGCGGCCAAATTCATTACCCACTTGGCGCTCTTCTTGCCACAGGCCTATCTGTTGCCTCCTCTCTGCCTCTGTCACTGGGCTTAGAACCTCCTGACCTGCCCTCTAACTAACAGACTCACTTTTCTGGCCAAGCTCACACCTGTGTATTTCTTTTAGCCCTGCCTCCAGGTCTGAATATCATCGCCCGGTCCGCTTAATGTTGTCTTGGTTTACAATAGGTCCTGGTGCCCGTGGGACAAGCTGTGTTGGTGTCTCCCTCTCCCCACACCTGGCTTCAGATGTGTCCTTCTGTGGGCCTGGCTTCCAGGGTCTGAGTGACCCAGGGCTGTAGTCAGGCTTATGTCCTGGCCTACTGGCCCGAGACCCCTCGTCATCATGCCTGGTGGGTGTTGTCCACCAGCTTGTTAATCCTGCCACTATGTCCCTTGAGTCCTGGGCCTGGCCCTGCTAGGCCCCTTATTGACTACCTTGTGTTGGTTTTGGGGGCTGCCACCAGGCCTGTTGCATCGCTTCTGTACTTTTCCCTGCTGTGGCTCGTGTCAGATGAACTGCCCCTGTCCACAGTAGAGCAGGTGAGACTGCTTTGTGTCTTCCTCGTGGGAGTGTATGTGGTCTTCTAGGATGCTTGCCTGGCAATGGTTCTAACTGTCTGTCCCTCCCCAAAGCTGGCTTCACCTGCTGGCCATGTTGGCTGAAGAACAGCAGATAGAAGTGGCAGAGGACCCCATGAGACCCGCCACCAGGACCCAAGCCTTCTTCCCAGCATGTCTCACCGCCTCAGTTGAGGGTGAGTTTCTTGCGTCTTCAAACACACATGATTTCACTAGGGTCTGCTCTATTCAAGAATGTAAACATTTAGCTGAGCGTGATCCCAGCATTAGGGAGGCTAAGGAAGGAGGCTGGAATGTTCCAGGCCAGCCTGGGCTATATAGCTGGGCTATATAGTAAGACCCTGTTTCAACAAATCAAAACAAAACAAAGTTTTTTTTTTTTTTTTGGTGAGACTGAGGTTGGAACTCAGGCTTTGTGCTTGCAAAGCTCTCTACTGCTTGAGCCACCACACTTCCCAAAACACACAAAAGATAGACATTTAATCTGAGTTGGGGGCAACCTACCAACCTTCCACATCAACTTCAGGAGCCTGGGGGCCTGGAAGCTGCTTGGAGTGGAGACCCTTGCCACAAATAAACTGGCCTGTGTGAGGGTCCACCCTGCTCACTGCATTCAGGGTCCAGGGACGATAAGTGGGGAGTGTTTACTTCTGATATAGCTCCTTGGAAATGGCTTGGACCAAGCACGTAGTAGGCACTCAATAAACACGGCTGAGCAGGTTTGTGAAATGACTACATGGTCTCTCTGTCCTCCCTTCCACCCACCCGCCGCCATGGCCTGTTTAGAGCTGTGGACATAGGAGACTGTCTGTGCCACTCTGGAAGACATTTCTCCCACCAGCCATGGCAACGTCACTCTCTGTAAGAATCACAGTCTCACACACATGAGGCTTTGATAATGTCCTTTAATCAAATTGTGGTTTTGAGTGAGTTCTTCTCTTGGCCCTTTTTCCTCACCCCTGAAATTGCAATGAGATGGGAATGTTTTTGTTTGTTTAAATAAAATCAGCATTGCTAGAGAAGATGAAGAAAGCAGAGGATTACATCCGCACAACCCCCCAGGACTCATCATTTATTTTTGTTTATTTATTTATTTATTTTTTGAGGTTCACTTATCAAGTTGCATTAATGGAGTTGTTGAGGGCTCAGGGTGGGGCTGCTCCAGGGGGAACCTAGGACCAGGCTTTGCAGAAGGACCAGAGGGGCTGGTGGGTGACCTGGAGGGTCCCCTGCCGTGATGTGGCTTTCAGGGAAGCTAATAAGGTGACACAGAGAGGAGGAGGCTCCCACTCCATTTGGCTCAGGGTTGCATGGTAAATGACCATGCCAGTATGAAGGCTGAGGAGACTGGAAGAGGATTTTTTTCTGTGGGCTCTGCTCTGTCACTGGTTCTGAGTGCCCACACCTGGGGTCTTTGTGAACAGAGCTCCCTGCCAGGCCCCTGTTTGTGGTTGCTGCAGATGTGCCAGCCTGTATGTGGGCCCCCTGTTCTCTGTGGCATTTCTGTTTTGTAACTCAGCTTCCATCCTGTTCTCTAATCAAATGGAAGTTGAGGAGACAGCTCTTCTGCAGCCTGCCCTTCTCCCCAGAAACTGAGGTTGGTTGGGGATGTTATTTTTAAATAAGAGCCAGCAGTGCAGGCCGAGGAGGCAGAGGCCCCCAGACCTGCTGTTGCCTTTCTCTGCTTGTTTTCATTCTCTGGAGAGCCCGACAGGAGAGCCTGACAGGCTGCAGAGAGGTGGGGAGTGTGTGCCCAAGGCACTGAGAAGGCTCTGCCTTGTGACATTTACTCCACAGCTGGCATTTGCTGAGCCACCTGCAAACACCGTGATGTGGAGAGGAGGCCTGGGAGGGGAGCTTTGCACGGGTAGGATGCTGGCTCCTGGGGGTACTGAATCCGGAGCTTAGACAAAGCATCCGTGTACCATCTAAGCATCTGAGGCTGCTAGGCTTGCTCTTCAGGGACATTTTGGCACTTACAAGGTGGGCTGAGCCTACAGTAAAGGCAGGGTGAAGGTGGAACCAAACAGGCATATCCATTAAGGCCACTCTGCCCACCCCAGATGACCCCAGACTCTGTGGCCAGCCCTTGTCCTTGCGGGAGTTTGGAATAGGAGGGTCTTTCTAGCACAGTTTCCTAGGCTTTTCATGAAGCTACATTGCAACTGAATTACATCTTTGGGGCTCTGTGTGTCATTAGGTTTTTTTGTTTTTTTTATTAAATATACCAAGTTCTCAATTAAAGACATCGAAACATACCACGATACATAGCCATGCACACAGTCATCTCAGGAATTGCAGAAAGGCCATTACTAACTGTTGAAAGGAACGATCATCTTCAGGAAAATTCTTTTTTGATGGATTGGTCAGTCCTGGGTGGGAAAGGGAAGCAAGGGTTTAGTTGAGAACACTGTGGCCCCTCTCTCACCCCTGCATTCTCCCACCTGTGCATTGCTTGCTGTGGCTCTCAGGGCCCCTGACCTCATTCATGCCTTCTGAGTTGTGATTCCAATCTCAAATGTATTTGCAAGTACATTTCTCCAAATAATGTCAAAACCTGGCAAGACACAGGGGCAACTGGATGCATGTGTTTCTTGTTCATTCATTTACATGAAGTAACTTAAATGTGTTTTTTAATGAGCAATCTGACTTCCTCAAAGAATGAAAAAAAAATTCCCATCTTTTAATGAGCTTGCTAATGAATTTTTCCTTGAAAAGAAAAAGGAAGCTTTACACAGAAGGGGGTGGAGGGGAGAAATTAAGATTCCAAAGGGTTAAAAGGCAGTGGGTGCTGCAGAACAATGGAACAGCCATACTGGAAAAACCTGGGGAGCCTGGCACATTCTCTTCTCAGGAGACTGGAATGTAATGGACTGTGAACACGTCCAGAGAACCAGTCCTCTGTCTACCCTGCTGCTTCCAGCCCTGTCCCCTCTCACCAAGAAAAAAATAAGGAAGTAGAGCAGATGGACAATTCTGAAAGAGTTGGACTTCTCCAAATGAGGCCATCTCAAGTGTAGGTTTCCCTGTTTGAAAGGGAGAGATGTTGGGGTAAGGACAATTCTTGTTATAAGTCAAATGAGGCAGCTCCAAACCTTGGCTCTCCATGGCCACCTGGCAGAAGAAGGCTCCTCAGGGGTGTGAGGAATGGGTGGAGCAGGGTGGCATCACCTCTGTGATGAGGAATGGGTCATGGCCAGGAAAGGTGGGAATGAGGAAGACCTAGGGGAGCTGGTGAGGAGCAGGATAGCATCCCTTCCTGGACACCTCAGGCTCAGAAACTGGACAGAATGACACCAGGAATGGGGTCCTGGGCTTCCATCTTTAAGGTGATCATTGCTCCTCGAATGTCTAGTGCCTTTGGGTTTGTCTAGTCCTAAGGCCAGACGCTTGGTCTTGGTCCTTACAATGGAAAACTGGTTGTTCTAACAGGCTTCTCAGAAAGAACTGTTACCAGATCTCCTGACAGGTTGATATTTGTCTTCTTAGCTTCACCCTGAATTCCTGGGTATTCATGGGGGAGTGGATGGAGTGCAGAGCAGGTGCTGGGCAACTGAGGCCAGCATGGGCCCCCCAACTCGAGGGGGATGTGTGTGGGAGAGGAATTAATTAAGGAGAGGACGGTGGTGACCGGTATAGTCATGACTTTCTTAATTGCTCTCCAATTTCTTTGGGCTTAAGAGAAAAATGCAGATGGAGAGTGCTCCCCCGCCCCCAGCCTGGGAGTGGGGCAGGAGGAAGGCGCCCACCACCTTTTGCTAGGCTTCTCTTCTCTCAGTGAATAGGGTCTTTGGCAGGGGCTTAAGAGGAGACTCTTAGCCTGGGAGCTCCCAGGCCGCTGCAGCTGGAAACAAAGGCGCAGGCAGAAAGGAATGTGGGGGAGCCCCACGGAGCACAGCCACCTGGGGGTAATTGGGAGAGCAAGTGCAGATGAGTTTCCCAGGTCCTGTGAATACACCCTGTCAATGGAAGGTGCCCTTTCTTCAGATGAAAAGAAAAGAAATCCTCAATTACCTTCCTGGAATGGAGTGTGTGTGTGTTCCCTCTAGGCTGCGTGGGCCCCCCCACCCCCTGGCCCTGAGTGTGTGTCTGACCCAGGCAGCACAATGACCCTCATAGCCAGCCACCCGCTCGCGTGACTCTGGGTGTACTTGTGCGCTTCTGTCTCAGGGCTCTATTTCTGCAAGTCTTTTAGGAGAGAAGTGTTGCAATGGCTGTGCCTGTAAACAAGAATTTGACCAAACTGGGCTTGATGCCTGAAAGACAGCCTTAGAGACAGAATGGGGCTGAGAGACCAAACTCCAGAATGGAAAATTGGGGAAGGAGGACCGTCAGAGGGGCCAAAGGGTGACTGCACGTCTTGGCCTTCTGGGACTGCACTACTGGACTGCCTTCCAATCCTTTCTCTGGGTCATCCTGTGGGTGGACCTAGAGTCAATCCCTGTTGGGAATAGGGGCTCCAAAATCCACAGGCAGGTGTCCGTGGTTAGGGAGGGGAAAAGAGGCCACATGGTCTCTGTGGGCAGTGTATTGGAGAGACCCTGGCTACCCTATCACTGTCCCAGTTTGCTCTGAGAGCTTGGGCCACTCTGGATAATCAGGGCAAAGTCCCTGCCATGAAAGGAAGGAGTCCTGGGCCTCAGTCTTGGCCAATGTCTTCTTTGTTACTAGTGGCTTCTGGGCCTCAGTTTCTCCATCTGGAAGAAATGAGGCAGCAGCCTGTTAATTATACCTGTTCTATAAGCCAGAAGCAGCTCAGGGTGTGGGAGAAGTAAGGCCTCTGTTTTGCCAGAGAATGGAGGCCCCATCTGTCCAATTTGAGGCTCTACTACTCTCTTGGCAGGTCACCCTTTGTTACTTGGGACTTGTCAGGTAATCAGGAGTGAGCTAGGAATGGGTGTGGGGCTCACGGCTCAGCATGTGCTTATGGATTAGCCTGGGTCCATACCTTTGACTATGAGTGTGACCTTAGTCCCTGTCTCAGTCTTCTGGGCCTCAGTTTAACCATCTGCAGGTCATCTGAGGCCCTTGGAGCTCTGTAGGTATTGGGGTCCCTCTTCCTTCTTGGTGGTCAGCTGCAGTTTGTGTGTGTTGCTGCTAGGTCTTATTTTATTTTTGAAGGTACTGGGGCTTGAACTCAGGGCCTCATGCTTGCTAGGCAGGTGTTCTACTGCTTGAGCCACTCTTCCAGCCCAGCTGTTGGGTCTTTAGAATGGTGGGGATCTTGTAGACCTTGGGTTCCTTGACCCTCTGCTTCAGAGATGAGGAGCCAGAGGCCCTAGAGGGTCACTTCCTCCTCAGAGGCCACAGAATGCGCAGGTGGCAGGTCCTGGGCATGGAGTCTCCTGCCAGTGGACAGCTTCTGTTTGACCAGTGTGGTCTGTGGTCACAGCTGTTGGCCAGTTTCCCATCATTGGCTTTTCAGAGTCACAGGCAGCTCCCAGGGGCTACCCCACATGCTGTGGTGCATGGATTACATGTTACAGGGCATTATTTCAAATGAGTGGGTCATCACCAGGCTGCAAAACCCTTTTTGGGTGTAGACTGGTTCTTGTGTAATGAGAACTGGACCTGTGGCTTCCCTTCTGTGAGGGTGTGACCCGTGTGCTATCCCCGGTGGCTCACCCTGTGCCTTTTGGTCATGAGACCTCTGGCAACAGCCCCTGTGGGCACTCTGGGCCACACAGGGCGACCTTCTTGAAATAGCCAGCAGGATAGCAACTTTGGGAAAAGTGAGTGGCATCCATGGAAGGTGGCTTTGTGCACATCCCTTGTTCTCTCTGAGCTTCGGTGCTGTAATAAGATGCTCATCAGACCATCCACAGGCCTACGCCTGGTTATTACCATGGTGGGCTGAAGCTTTTGTTTTGTGACCTTGGTTGCTACAATACCTGCGAGCTGAAATGCGGAATCAAAAAATTGCCAGCTTCAATTAGACCAGCAGACTGCTTTCCCAAGGCTGCCCCCGCCTCTCTATCCATTAACGGTAAACATGCACCAAATAGGCCCTAATTCTCTCTAATTGCCCACTCCTGAAGCAAAGAGGTGAAATTCCAGGAATAGGCATATGTAAACATCCTCTGTAACCCGACCAACTAAAATTAGAGGAAAGACTGATGGGGGCCTGGCGCAGGAGAGGGGACACTATTTCAAAAGATGTCCCAATTACCTTTCCCATTTTCATAAATGGGCCCATAATATCCAGGACCCGGGGCTCACAAGGGTACAGGAAATTAGCTCCGCAAAGGGCTTACATTTGTCAGGGGAAGTGAGTAAATGGTGGTATTTACTCAACAGGTAGGAAGTATGAGATCAGAGGCAAGGCTGATTGTGTAACTGCAGGCTCTATTTCTTGAAGTCAACATTTTAGTAAAAATAATTCTTTGACGTTTCTCTTTGTTTGAAATATCTGTAAGATATTTGTACCAAAGACACGCCAGATCAATTAGGTCCTGTTTGCCTCCAGAGAAGAGTAACTTAAAAAAAAAATCTCAAGGTGCAAAGCTAGAATGTTCTAATCCTGTTAAGCTGTGGAGGATGTTTGGTGTGTCTACCAACGCTTTCTACGTGGGCTATGAGCTCAGTACACACACTTATGAGGTCTTCCATCAAAGGCTTGTGACAATTGTTCCTCTGGACTCTATAAGGAGGCCTTGTGTTTTCCTTTGGTTCCAGACAGTGACTCATCTCTGCAGTTTTTCTGACATTTGTTAAGATTCCAGCCCTGCACTGCGTTATTAATACATCACGGCAGGCCCAGAGCTGGTACACGCAGCGTTTAAACCAAGGCACGACTCCGTCGTGCTGTGTCCTCACAGAGCAGCCTGGGGTCTGCCTGCAGAGTTAATTAAGGACAGTGGGGAGCGCGGAGGGTCCAGGGGGCCCTGGAGCAGAGGCAAGAGAAAACCCAGATGCCCGAAGAGGCTTCTGATTTTCCTGCTCCTATTAAAAACAAAATAAGACCAAAACAGAAGCAGCAGACCAAAGGACTGGGTTCATATTCCTGTGGGAAACAGCAGTGCCTTTGGTCTTGCTGTGTGTTCCTGGTCTGGAGTCCCATTGTGACCTTAGGACTGTGGCTATGATGAGCGACCACCCCAGCCATGCAGGGCTCATGGGGAGGACCAGACTGTCTCAAGTGGTGTTCCCTACATGGTGGGTGGTCCTGAGCCTTTGGGTAGCCAGAGTCTGCCCCCCAGTCTCCGATGAGCTCCTCACTGCCCTACTTTATTTTCAAGATTTCAAATGAAGCCGGTGCTGGTGGCTCATACCTATAATCCTAGCTGCTCAGGAGGCAGAGATCAGGAGGATCACAGTTTGAAGCTAGCCTGGGGAAATAGTTTGTGAGACCCTATCTCGAAAATCCCTAACACAAAAATGGGCTGGTGGAGTGGCTCAAGGTGTAAGCCTTGAGTTCAAGCCCCAATACCACAAAAAAAAAAAAGATTTCAGATTAAGTGGTTATGGAAAAACAGTGTTTGGGGCGTGCAAGGTCAGAGAATGGGTTTGTGGGAGGATTTGGAAATAAGAGATATCCACTCTGTGCCTTGGTAGGATTTGGTGCCCAAGAATGGAGGAGGGAAAAGTGACTTGGGGTGTCCCTGAAGGGTGGAGTCAGGGTGAGGTAGGGAGCTGGGGAGCACTTCATCCTTTCAAGAGGTCTTTGGAGAGCTAGTGGGGCAGGCATCTGGTGGCCTGCACTAGGCATCTCTGGGGACCACTGAAATCCTAGAGCCCCTGCCACGCCCATGTTCCCTTATTGCCTTTGAGTCTTCAGGTGGCTTCACAACCTCCACACTGGTCCTCTCCCCTCCCCAGCCTCCTGCCTCATATGTGTCTACCAGGAAAACGTCCCCAGAGGGTTCAAGCAGACCCTGGCTCTCTCCTGCCCCTGGCCCTGACCCCTGACTTCCAGTATTCAGCTATTTCAGACCTTCTTTTTGCCACTTGTTTACCTTTAACAGACTCTAGTAACACATTTTAAATATCAGCTTTTTAAAAAATTGTTTATTTTTTTTATTCATTTATTCACATGTGCATACATTGTTTGGGTCATTTCTCCACTCTGCCCACAACCCTCCCCACCCCCAGTTCCAGGCAGGTCTTGTTCTGCCCTTATCACTAATTTTGTTGCAGAGAAGACATAAGCATAATAAGGAAGACAAAGCATTTTTGCTCGTTGAGTTAAGGATAGCTATACAGAGAGATTCCTAGCATTGCTTTCGTGTACCCATGTGTTACAACCCATGTTGATTCATCTAACTGATCTTTACACTGGTTCCTGATCATGATAACCTGTTGCTTTAAGGTTTCTGTATTAGTTCCTCTGCAGTGGGGACATCAAACACGTTCATGTTTTGGGTTTTCTACCTATTCCTATATCTCCCATATGTGCTCTCCACTTGTCATATGACCCAAGTCCAACCACATTGCTGCATTTGCCCTAGATCTAAAGTCCACATATGAGGGAGAATATACGATTTTTGGTCTTCTGAGCCTGGCTGACCTCGCTCAGGATGATGTTCTCCAGTTCCACCCATTTACCTGCAGATGATAAGATTTCATTCTTCTTCATGGCTGAGTAAAATTCCATTGTGTACAAGTACCACATTAAAAAATTATTTTTAATGAGTAGGCTGTCTTTCTTCCTAAGTAGTTTTCAGTTTACAGAAAAGAACAGGAGGAAAATTCACAGAAATCATCTTGTTTCCCAAGATGAGTGCACATTGCCCACTGAAAACCCCACCACTGTAGCACTGCCCACACTCTGGCCCTCCTGCTGCAGCCCACTTTCCTGGGCTCCTGTGCCCTCTGCCCAGCTTGCCTCTTGTAGTTCTTCTTCCTTTTTTGGGGGGTTGAGGGAGAGACTGGGATTTGAACTCAGAACTTTGTGCTTGCTTGCAAAGCAGGAACTCTACCACTTGAACCATACCTCTACCCCCCCTCCACCCACCGCAGTTCTTATTAGACTTCTCCCAGCAAACGGCCAAACTCTCTCTTTGAGATGTCTTCAATGCTCTGCCTGCCAGGGAGTGGTTCACCACCCTTAGGAGCAGCTCAACTCTCACCTGTGCAAACCTTTGGTTTCCATAAAGCAGCCCTCAGCCCCAGAGTGACACCAATCCTAGGACTCTTGGGTTAGGAGCCATGCTGCTGTCTCTGCACCTGTGCCTGACACCCCTTAGGTAGTTGTTGGGTGAGTGAGTGTGAAAATGAGTGAGAATGTTTGGTTTCATGGACTCCACACTTGTTACAGGTGAGGATTTCCTGTTTCAGGTCACTCTGACCCCTGGAAAACCATTACCCTTAGCCTCCAGCCTCCTATTCCTTGCTGACCTGGGTGACTTTCTATTCCATGACTTCATGCTTTCTCCTTCCAGCCGAAGTTACCACCTGGAATTCTGCGTGGGAAGGGACCCTGGATACCCGGATACATGCCCTTGGGACCCTCCAGTGCTAAATCGTAAGTGGCCAGAATACAATGAGCACACTTGTGGTCTTGTGGCTCATGGGGAGGGGGGCTGTCACCCGGAGTACACTGCTAGGCGGGCTGGTGGCCTGTGCCTGTGGGGGAGCAGGGGGAGTACTCAGTGAGCTAAGCGAGTGGTGACCTGGGGCTCGTGTTCGAAGATGGGAGCCCTCAGCCTCCTTGTGTTGTCTCTGTGGCAAAAGAATTCTATAGGCAGCTTCAAGTGTGGGACCCCAAAAGAATTTCTTCTTTTTCACTCTTGTAAATGAATGGCTCTTTCATGATTGAGTCTCCCTTTGGCTCTTGTGCAGCAGGGCAGACTAGGATGGAAGTGCTCTTGTGAGCTGGGGGGTCCTTCAAAGGGCCGAGGAGAAAGCGCAGGCCAAGGGACCAGCCTCTAAAATGGGCTTCGGGCTCCAATGACCTGTGCTCACCCCCTCGAAATGTCTGGAAAACATAATGGGCAGGTTTTCTGTCTTCAAAGTTTCCGGCTAAACCTCTTCAAGTTCTTTATTGTTTGGGACTGAGACACTCAGAGATGGTAATGGGGAGTTTCTTTTGTATTTGCCTTGAAAGGCCAAAATATTTTTATATTGCTGTAGACAAAGCCACCTATTTAAAAAATGAACTCTGTCCGTCGTTTCCCACCGGGAAGACTATGTGCCATGTGTGTGTCTCTATGTATTCTGGGGTCTTGAAACAGGTTTCTCATTATGGGGATGGCCATTCACCGGAGTCCAGAGGGGCAGGAAGTGGTGGGAAGTGCCTGCCCTGCAAGGGGCTGAGGGTGGGAGCCCTAATCTTGGATCTGCCCCCAGAATTTCTAGGATGTAAGCCTGGGAGAATTGGGTAGTAAAGGAACGTAAACTGTCTCTCTCTCTGCTGTGCATCTGCCATGTATTTGTGTTTCTAGGCTGCACGTTTTTATACCTTGGTGGTGAACTTGGTTGGGAAGAAGCAGAAAGGGCCAAGAAAAATGTGAATGTTCTAGTTTTCTTATTGGGAGATTGTTTCATTGGTATTATAACTGTGTGTAATAAATGATTGAATGGATGAAGCATGAAGAAATGATTAAGCAAATAAATAGGTGACAGAAATAAGTCAGACTGAGAGTATACACTGATCACTCATTCACTTTGATGCATAGGCAGTCAATAAATAAATCAATAAGATTGAATCAATAAGTACATAGGAACCACACACAAACTGGTAGCAGGTCGTCATGAACCAAATAATATGTATCATTTAAATATAGGTCTTTGAGATTTGTCAACAAAAGGATAGAACCCAAATGAAAGAATGAATGAAGGAATGGAAAGTGAAATGCATAAACCAATGTTGAGATTTTGAAGCCCATTCAAATGAAAAGATGCAAGACAGAAAAAGTGATCAAAGGGAGAAGGAAGAGGAAAAGAAGAAAAAACAACAAATATAGGAAGAGAGTTAAAAATATTAGGGATGCATAACTATGAGTAGAGGACCATGTCAGGTTACTGTAAACCAAGCATTAAGATTAATCCCAATACTTTGTGCTCTTGGCCTAGAAAAATAAACAAAAAACAAAGAGGACCCAGTGGGCCAGAGATGAGGGTGTAGTTTAACTAAAAGTTAACCAAGTCTGGGCACCCAGAGTCTCCACATAAATTAATACATGCCAAAATGAAAGGAATTCAGAAGCAGGAGGAAAAAGCAGTGATATATGGCTGGATGAAGGAGAACAAGGGAAGTGCATGCCCCAAGGTGCTGCATCATGGGTAGCTTGAGGAGTTGAATCATCCAGTCCTGAGACTTGTTAGAAAAAAGGAATGAGAAAGAGAAAAAAAAAATTCTGGATAAAAATCAAGAAACAAGAAAAAAGTAACAATATTAAGTCTAGAGATATGTTAATGGGTGAATAAATAAAGATGAAAGGAGACAGTGCTAGGGGTGGTGGCCCAAGACTACGGCTGGTTCACTTCCAAAAGACACAGTCTATCAATAAAATAAGTGTCTACATGGACAAGCCAGTGAATATGGAAAAAAGCAAAGAAAGGAGGAGGTGAAGGGAGAGGCCTGGTATCATTGCCTCCTCTGGGCATTCCAGCTCCATGAGAATGAAAAGGCAAGTGAGAAAGACAGGAGATGTCAAAAGCTGTAACAAACAGTTAAAAAAAAGGAATAACTACTAAATGGTTAAAAGTGTAGGGTTAGGCTAGGAGTCAAAATCTGAGCACCTACTTCCACTTAAATATTTCCTAAAAAGAACATATGAATAAATGAGAAAAAAAAAGAAGGAAAGAAGCATGGCATGAATAAGCGAATAAGTGAATGAATGAATGAAGAATGAATGAATGAGACAGAGATGCATAGACCAAGGAGGTGGCTTCATAAAGCTTCACAAAGGATGAAAGACAGTATAAATGAGAAAAATAGAAAATGGAAAGAAATGTAAAAATTAGCCAGAAAAGAAGAAAGGTAATATTTTAACAAACAGGGTGGATACAGATATAAGGCAGGGTCCTGCTAGGAACAGGAAGGAAAGGCAGTGCCAATCAAGCACAGTGCTTCTCAGATGGACGAGGACCCACCCAAGCAAGAGTCTGTTCAAAGCATAAACATGCCAGGGAGGACTTCAGTGGGCCAGGAGAGGAGGCCCGTTAACTGCAGATTGTAATGTATCCAATTAGGTGCACCTGCCTCTGCAAGTGTAGAAACCAGTATTTAAATAGAAAGATGAATGGATGCATAAATGCATGAATGAATGAATGAGAAAGAAAGATTTGCGTTATTGATGAGGAGGGTGTTACACAGCATTTTAGGGTCACCTGACCTGGGGCCTGATCCCCAAAGGAAGAAAAGGGTGAGTGATAGCAACAAAAAGATGGGACAAATGAAAGTGAAAAAAAAAAAGTGGAAAAGACACTAAGTGGAATGATTGTCTGTGAGAGGGGGCTGGCACATTAAATCAAAATTGTGGCCCTGGGTTGGGGTGCAGCTCAGTGAGGGGAGTGCTTGCCTAGCATATACCAGGCCATGAATCTAATTCCCAGAACTACAAAACAAATAAGCAAAATTGTGGCCCCAAGGTTTATAACTTGTAATAAAAAATGGTAGACGTAAATGACTGAATGAAATCCATAAGAACACAAGAAAAGGAGCTGAAAAAATTGAAAGAATGAGAAAAAGAAAGATGTAGGAAAAATTAAAATGGACATACATATGTATGTATGCAGGATACATACATATCCTGCATATGTATTCAAATAAAACCAGTAGAAATTACTTGTTAAATTCAGTAAATAATAACAGCTGACTGACATTCATCAATAAAAAGCCAGTATCAAAAAGAAGCAATAAATTGAGTGACTGACTGAATGAATGAGAAATGATGATTTTAATTAATTCAATTCTTCACTCAAGCCTCGTAAGAATAAAAGAATACAAAAAAGAGAAAGCAAGAAAGGAGGGACTATAGAAAATTCTGACGAGATAGATAAAAGCAATAAACACATTGAATGTGTAAAGATATACCTAAATAAGTGAGAGAGAGGGCAATACAAGTACAAAAAACTGAGGCAGCAAGAATTATGGTTAATTTAAAACTGGGCTCCTGAGATAGTTGAATAAATCCCAAACCGAGTCAAAAGAGCCACGTGGACCAGTGCTGAGGAGGCTCCAGGAACCTCAGATTATGTATGGTTAATCCAATTCTGTGCACCTGAGGTCCATAAATAAAAGAATAAATATTGAAATAAAAGAGTGACAGAAAGAATGAATGGATACATGAATGACTGAATTAGAAATGGAAATGTCTGGAACTGCCAGGAGGGAGTTGCCCATGGGAGTTCTGCTCATCTCTTTCTGGGCACCTGAGGTCCCGAAGAGTGGAAAGATGAAAGAAAGAAAGCCTCAGAGTCCAAGAGAGAAGGAAAGGTGCAATGAAGCTAAACGAAAGAGAGAGGGAAAACAAAAGCCAATAAAAGGGAACTAATATGTAGGTGGATCTGTAAGAGAAAGGTCTGTTAGAATTAGTAATGAAGTTGTCATTTACCCTAATGATGGATGAGATAATCCAGTCCCAGGTTCTTAAGGGGAGAGAGAATGAAGAGAATTAAAAAAAAAAAAAGAAGTAAAAATGGAAAGAAGCAAACAACCAAAGTGATAAATGGATAATTAAGAGAGGTTGTCTGAACAGGAATGATAATGAGTTCGCATACATACTCCTTAAATAGATAAATACATTACACCTTTCAAAGAATAAATGAAAAATAGAAGAACATCCTGGCTCTCAAACAAAGCTGTACCTTCCAGCACTGTAATGAAATACATGCAGGTGAGGTTCATAAATAAAGGAATTAGTACTTAAAGTGCAAGGTGACTGCATGTAGGGAAGAAAGATTACAGATGCAAATAAATACAAGGGCCCGTGATGTTTGTTTTGCATGGGGGGCGGGGTTTCTAATACAATTACATGCACAGGAGACTAATAGGTTAAAGTATTTCCAAAATAAAGAGGAAGGACAGAGGATTGAATGAGCAGGTGAATGAAAGAATGAAGAATGAGAAGTAGGGCTTGTAGACTGGAAGTTAAAGGTGTGTCTGTGTTCTGATTCAACCAATGCTGTCATCCAAGTTTATAAAAATGAGAAATTGGAAAGAAGAGTGAGAAGAAGGGAGAAGGATGAAACTTGGAAAGAGAAAAGAGAGGAATAGGGGATAAAAATACCATGAATAAATGAGCGGGGCTTGTGAAGAGAAGTTTGCAGGATCCAAGGGATATGATTCATTTAAAGCTGTGCTGTTGGTGTGCATAAACAGAGGACAACTCTGAGTGAAGGAATGGCTGGCTAGCTGGATGGATAGAAGAAAGGGTGGTAGGAATTTAGAAGGAAAAGAAGGAAAGGAAAAGAGGAAGAAGGGAGGAGGGTCCTCTTGTCTAGTTTTGTTTTCCAGCAGTTGGATGAGGTGGCTGCAGGGAGGGCTGGCTGCTGGCATGTCACCTGCTTCTTACATGC